TTTGCACTGAAGAAATACCAGGATAGCCTAATCAAGAGCTCACAGAGAGAGCCCAGCAACGCAAGCCTCCTCTTGTTGAATAGAGACGCCACATCCCTGAGACAGATGTCCGAGTGGGTGATGAGGATGATCCAGGGACAGTTTCCAAGGATTAAAGACAAAATGTTCCTTGAAGAGCTTGGAGAYAGGAGGATCATCATGAACCTCCTCATCAACTTGTACAACTAYCAGTGTAGTTACATAGGACACAACCAAATCCTATCGACCTTCATGAAGACACCAGCGGCCACGACTGTCGACAGTCCCTATGAGAGGGTTGCTCTTGCTGATGGCTACTTCCATGTAGGTAGGCAGATCTCCCCGGATGGCAATGGAGTATTTCTTTGCTAAGGAAATCCCATGGTGAAGAAGAAATTGTTGTTAGTTTGAAATGAGAGGGATTGGTTTGAAACAAGAGAGATTAGTGACTTTTGCCAGTATTACGGAGTTTCGCGAGTATTACGACAACGATCAACGACTACGATCAACGACAACGATCAATAAGGCACGGATTGATAGAACACAATCGATAACTCGCCATGGTCCCCTCCCTTATCATTGGAATTACTAGCGGTCGTTTAGTTTATTCAGTTTACTCAGTTCTCTACGTGAAATAATGAATTAGTGTATTTTGCTGTATTTGCTGTGAAATACTGTATTCGCAAGAACAGCTTGCTGTATTTGCTTGCAACAGCTTGCTGTATTTGCTTGCTTCCGTATTCTTTCTAGTACTTGCTTCTACGGAGTTACAGTAGAACCCAGGTTTTCATGTATCGGAGACCGGTATCAGAAACGGGATTACAAAGAGGGTTCGCACTATCCAACGGATGTCATTGATCGGCATCCACATACATTCTAATCACCTCAATCCTCATAACCGAATGTTGATTAGTTAAATCAATGTTCTTCATTGCAGTATATAAATGTAATCTAGTCATGGCAAAGTTACAAAAGTATACATAAAAACCGCAAATGCCTAGGAACTGGTTGAAATAGTACCAGTTGTACAGTCGACGTAGTACGAGAGTACGAGACAACAGGGAGCTGTGGGGACTCCTTCAGCTACTGCTTTGCTCATTGTATTCATTTCTTTAGTATAGTATCGTGTAAGCATG